TTGGGAGAGAGCAACTGTCTCCCCGTCCCGCACCCAGGTCTCAGTCATGCACGCCAGGTCCGCTTGCTGTTCCATGACGAAGTCCCGAAGGACTGTCGTCTTGTTGTTGATGGACCTGGCGTTGCAGAACACCAATGACGGAGAGGGGTTCGTCTTCTGAGCCCCACTGCTGACCTCCCTTGGGATGGGTCGTAGGCTGGAAGGGCACCGAGCCATCTTCTTTCTCAGGGCCCTTCCCTTGATGTTCTGCCTAGACCCACCGCTAAACTTTCCCCTCCCCAAGAGTTCCTGCTGGGCTTTTTCTACAAAAAAAAGCCCTGGTTGTACTTAGCTAGTCTATCGTCTGCTCTACTGGACTGAGGGACTTTAATGCCCTCCCTTACCTGTCCGACTGCCTGGAAATCACAGGCTAGCTTGCTCACAAGTTTTTACTGCAAGGCAGGGGAAGGAAGCAACTTACCCTCCCTCTTCTCCTGCCTCCTCCTGGCTGAATGAGGGCCGGAAGCGGGGCGGCCGGAAGCAGGGGCGGGGCTTCGTCATGTGCCCTGCCCTCCCGTACCTCACCCGGGGGAACTGCGTTCCCCTGCGTTCCCCCCCGAAATGACCTCTGCTGCAAGGTGTTCCATATATGAAGATTTACCACTTGATGGTTCCTATTGCACGAAGAGGCTTTTCAGAGGTCAAACATAGCCAGAGTTTCCATGTATCCTGGGGTTGCCAACCTTCACGTTGTAGCTGGGGGATTACCACTGATCTCCAGGTGACAGAGATCCGTTTGCCTGGAGAAAATGTCTGCTTTGGAAGGTGGACTGTATGGCATTGTACCCCCCCGAAGTCCCTCCCCTCCCCAAACCCCACCCTCCTCAGGCTCCACCCCCAAAAATCTCCAGGTACTTCCCAATCTGGAGCTGGCAACCATAATGCATCCCCGTATAAACATAATAAGAAAGAACATATGAACAAAAGAGAAGCCAATGTTGAATCAGGTCAATGGCCCATCCAGTGGCTAAAAACACCAGGTGCCATCGGGAGGTCCAGCAGTGGGGACCTAATGATGCTTTATTGTATTTATTTATTCATAACCTGCTTTCTTCCTCCTCCCCCAATGGGAACCCAAAATGACTTACAGCATTGTTCTCCTTTCCTCCATTTTATCTTTACAACAGCCTTAGGAGGTAGGTTAGGTTGAAGGAGAGTGACAGATCACCCAGCAAACTTCCACGACACAGTGGGGATTCGAACCTGGGTCTCGCTGATTGTTATATGACACTCTAAACACTACACCATCCTGGCTCTTCAGTGAGTCACAGTTCACATCCACCTACCAGTATGATCTTCCCAGAAATATTGTACTGAAGCAGGTTTGGGGAAATCGGTAGCGGAGCTGGGGAAAACCCAGGCTGGTGACCATGTTGGGCAGAAACCAAATTTAAATCCGCTGTGATGGGGGAGGCAATTTGGAACAAGACCTCTGCACACAAGTAATGGTGGTTAATATCACAGATCATTTCCTAGAAAAAGAGGTGCAGGAACTTATTTGTGTAACTCATTTGCATATGCCACACCCCCTGACAGAGGGCAGGCATGTTTAAAATGAGTTAAGGCATATGCAAATGAGTTTAAATCCCCCCCTTCCCTGAGTCTCTCTCCAAAAGCAGAGAAGCTAAGGGAAAGGGGAGCCATGTCTGCCTGCCTCCCCTTCCCCTCCCCAGCCAACCCGCCACGGCGAGCTGGCTGGAGAAGGGAAAGGCAGGGAGACAGACATGCCTGGGTTCCCTGCCCAATCTTCTCCAGGTGGAGAAGATCAAGCAGGAAATCCAGGCATTTAAATCCCCCCCTTAGTCTCTCTGCGGGCAGGCGGGGGGCGGGGCCAGGCCTTCCTACTGCCAGAGCACTGCTTCAGAGCGCTCCGGCAGGAAATGAACCCTGGTTAATTTACTGAATCCCGTGGGTGACAGACCCTAAAACTAACATAGCTAGTGGAGTAACCCGTGTTCAATCACACTAACTGTCAGTTTAATTAAACCATGGCTTTGCAGAACATCTGAGCTTTAGGGCTCCTAGCTCCAGGTTGGGAAATACCTGGAGATTTGGGGGGTGGAGTCTGGAGAGGGCAAGGTTGAGGGAGGGGCCCTTTTCTCCAGGTGAACTGAAGTCTGTCACCTGGAGGTCATTTGTGACCCCAGGAGATCTCCAGCCGCTACCTGCAAGTTGGCACCCTACCCCTTCGTGGCTCCTTCGTTGCCTATTTCCATTGGGTGTTTTCTTTCCTTGGCTGATGAGGGGGTTAAACCAGATCTCTTGGCCACCTCTTGCAGTCAACAATGCCGGGGTAGGCCTCATCGGGCCCATTGAATGCCAGTCGATAGAGGAGATGAAGGCCGTCATGGAGACCAACTTCTTTGGCGTGGTGCGGATGATTAAGGAGGTCCTCCCCGACATGAAGAAGAGAAGGAGCGGCCACATTGTGGTCATCAGCAGCGTCATGGGTTTGCAAGGTAAGCCGGTTAGGTCGCATTCGCACCGGCGCCTTCTTTTGGCTTTGGTCTTCTTTTGGCTACAGCCTTCTCCAGTTCCTTTGCTGCCTTGGAAGGTCTCATAAGAACATTAAAAAGCAGCCGATTAAATTGGAACAGGCCAAGGGTCCCTTCTTCCCAGCACTTGAACAACAGCCAACTTGGTATCCCTCGAGGAAGCTCACGGGCACGGACAGCAAGATGTCCGTTTGATAATGCTTTACTCCATTGCCTGGTGTTGACGGGTACACGGAGGCTCCGTATGTAGAGTTGCCAGGTCTATTGGCTAAATGGCTTTTCTTTCTGCACTGGGAACTTCCGCCCCCCCAAAAAAAAATTTCCCCCAAAAGCCACAAGCTATAGGCCTGGGGGTAGGGTTGCCAGATCCGGGTTGGGAAACTCCTAGAGATTTGGGAATGGAGACTGTGGAGGGCAGGGACCTCAGTGGGGCACAATGCCATACAGTCCATCCTCCAAAGCCTCCATTTTCTTCATGGGAACTGATCTCTATAGTCTGGAAATGAGCTGTAGTTCCAGGGGGTCCCCAGGCCTCACCTGGAGGCTGGCATCCCTATCTGTGCGTGCATAAAGTGTCGTCAAGTTGCAGCCGACTTATGGTGACCCCAGCCAGGGGCTTTCAAGGCAAGTGAGAAGCAGAGGTGATTGGCCATTGCCTTCCTCTGCAGCGTCTTCCTCGGCGGTCTCCCTTCCAAGTACCAATTCTATGAGAGCCAGTTTGGTGTGGTGGTTAAGTGCACGGACTCTAATCTGGGAGAACCGGGTTTGATTCCCCACTCCCCCACTTGCACCTGGCTGGATGACCTTGGGCAAGTTGTAGCTCTAATAAGAGCTGTTCTTGAAAAAGAGCAGTTTCTGTCAAGAGCTCTCTCAGCCCCGCCTACCTCACAGGGTGTCTGTTGTGGGGCGGGGAAGGGAAAGGAGTTTGTGAGCCGTCCTGAGGCTCCTTCGGGTCATGAAGAGCAGCAAGGTATAAATCCAGTCTCCTCTTCTTCCATCCCCCTTAATCATTTTAGTTGCCCTTTGGTGTAGTGGTTAAGCGCGCGGACTCTAATCTGGGAGAACCGGGTTTGATTCCACTCCCCCACTTGCACCTGGCTGGATGACCTTGGGCAAGTTGTAGCTCTAATAAGAGCTGTTCTTGAAAAAGAGCAGTTTCTGTCAAGAGCTCTCTCAGCCCCACCCGCCTCACAGGGTGTCTGTTGTGGGGAGGGGAAGGGAAAGGAGTTTGTAAGCCGCTCTGAGACACCTTTGGGTAGTGAAGGGCAGGAGTATAAAGCCAATCTCTGCTTCTCTTCTTCTTCTGTACCGTGCCCCCTTCTGTCCCCCAGACTTCATTTAATGACCCTCAAAGAACTCCCCTCTCATTCTCTAAAAGCCAGCTTTTTAATATATTCTGCAGAATGGGGTGATAAAGTGGATGGTACCGCTTTCAACACTGTGCGTGAGATCCCAGTCTTGAATGTTCTCCCATGCTTTGAAAACACACACACACCTCTATGCCATTTAAAAACAACAACACCACCAACACCTGGGGGCGGGAAGGTTCTAGCCCAGCCAGGTCTCTACTGTACAACTTTCTAAGTGGAAGGCAGTTTTTTAAAGTCACATGGGAACCATCAGTTGTGTGATTCCGCCCTCCCACCTCCCCCTGTAGTGTTACAATCACCTCAGGACTGAAACCGCTGCATGTGCAAGCTAGAAATTACTCCCGACTGTGTCAAAAACACTGCATGAAAAAGGGACAGGCTCATCGACTCTGCGTGTCTCCACTGGCTCAAATTCATCCTTTGCTTCTCGGTTGTCTCCTTCACTGTGACCATGTTCCTTTGCAACAAAGTTTCTCATGATATCCTTGGGGATACGCTGGTTAAGTGTGGGCTGGATGGTGCAACTGTTGGATGGATTCACGGTTCGTTGAAAAATCGTACCCAATGAGTGCTCGTAAATGGCTCTGCGTCTACGTGGAGGGAAGTCTCGAGTGGAGTGCCGCAGGGCTCCGTCCTAGGCCCAGTGTTGTTCAATGTTTTTATAAATGACCTGGAGGAAGGCATAGAGGGGATGCTTATCAAATTTGCAGATGACACGAAGCTAGGTGGGATTGCTAATTCTGAAGAAGACAGAGTCAGGATTCAAAATGATCTAGATAGGCTGGAATAGTGGGCTGAGACAAATAAAATGAATTTCAATAGAGATAAGTGCAAAGTCTTAGGCATAAAAAAATCAAAGGCACAGATATAGAATGGGAGAGACTTGGCTTGACAGCAGCACATGTGAAAGGGATCTGGGTGTTCTGGTTGATCACAAGCTAAACATGAGCCTGCAGTGCGATGTGGCTGTGAAGAAAGCTAATGGAATTTTAAGATGCATTAACAGAAGCATTGTGTCCCGATCAAGGGAGGTGGTCGTTCCGCTCTATTCTGCTATGGTCAGGCCCCACCTGGAGTCCTGTGTCCAGTTTTGGGCACCACATTTTAGGAAGGATGTTGACAAGCTCGAATGTGTCCAGAAGAGGGCAACCAGGATGGTGAGAGGGTTGGAATCCAAGTCTTACGAGGAAAGGCTGAAAGAGTTGGGTCTGTTTAACCTGGGAAAGAGAAGGCTTAGAGGGGACCTGATTGCAGTCTTCAAATATTTGAAGGGCTGTCATGTAGAAGATGGAGCGGATCTATTCTCTCTTGCTCCGGACTGCAAGACTAGATCTAATGGGTGGAAATTACAAGGGAGTCGTTACCAGCTAAATATCAGAAGAAACTTCCTAACTGTAAGAGTGGTTGAGCAGTGGAACAGTCTGCCTCGGGAGGTGGTGGATGCTCCTTCACTGGAGGTTTTCAAGCAGAGGCTGGACGACCATCTTTCGGGTATGTTGTAGGGCTATCTTTTGGCTATGCTCCTGCAGAGTGCAGGGGGTTGGACTAGATGACCTGCAAGGTCCCTTCCAAGTCTAACATTCTATTATTCTATATGCTCCTTGGGGCAGGGACTGGTTTTCTCTTTGCTTAGATCACCCACCAAATACCAAGTTTAGTAATGACCGTATGCAGACAGGAACTTGGATTTTTTAAACTCCAGGGCTAAACCGGATGACGCACCAAGAGATCCCTGGCTGGATCTTTGGAACCCTTTTTCTTAGTAAAAAAAAAAAAAAGATGAATAGAAAATTCAGAATTCCTCATGCAGCTGCTCTTTGCTCTGCTGGGAGAATGCTCGTTATTATATCTGTTTGTGCTCTGAGGATAAGAAGATGAGTTGGGGGGAAAGCTAACCCCCCAACCCCGTGTGCGGCTGCCCCAACCTGGATCAAGGCCCGCTACAGCCAAAACTTATGAATGAAGAATAACTAGGCTTGCCAACCTCCAGGCGGCACCTGGCAATCTCCTGCTGTCATAATTGATCTTCAGGCCCCGGTCACACGGAAGGTTTTGGCCCGGGAGAGGGACAGATCGGGGGCGCAGCAAACGGGCTCGATCTCACCACAACATCTGGGAAGCGGCGCGCACCCGTCCCTAAAGCCGGAAAACCCGCTGCAAAAGAGAACCACCTACAGAGGAGGACTTACCTGGAACGCCGCATCAAGCGCGGCCGCGGGATCACCGGCGCGCCTGTCGTCCGGAGCAATCCAGGCTCCCGTCCGAACTGCGCATGCGCACACATGCGCAGTTCGGCTGCCA